GAAGCTTTAGATGAACCAAACAGAGACTACTTACACAAACATTTCGGTAAGGTTTTCATGAGACTCTTAGAGAAAATTAAAATAAACTCACAACAGAGATGGATGGTATGTTATAAACTTGGTGGAAAGTATGAATGTTCTACGTTAAACCTCAATAATATTGGAACATTACTACATCAGCTCTTGAAGGAGAACTTTATATCAGAGATAGAAGCAAATGCTGCAGGTATTGTTGAAATGCACTATGACTTCTTCTTGACAAACATAAAGAATCTTACTGAAATAAAGATGTATGATTTAACAGAATATGAAGGCTTAACGATGTCAGATGTAAAGAAAGGCAAACCAAAAAAGAGACCATATAGAGATGAAAGCACACTGACAAATGACCAGAAAGCCATTTTGGAAGCTCTTAAGCAAACAGGAAACCCAGCACTTATAGAAAGCTTTTGGAAAGATAATGGTGAAAAGAAGTTTTATAAGAAGAGAAGCGGTCAGTTCTGGAAGTATCTTTGCACATTACCTATAAATCTTGAACGCTACCAAATCTTCAATGAACTGAACAAAAGAACTGCAACACTTATGACAGAAGACAATTGTTTCGTTTATGCTTGCATTCAGGCTGGAGTAGATGGAGAGACTATTGACCACATGAGAGAAGTCATTCGTGTTAGAGACTTTCCTCAAAGTAAAGTACAAGAAATTTCTGATGCAACAGGTATAGCATTTAATGTTACCATTGGTTACTTCAATGACTCAAGACATAATGAAATAAAGAGATACATACCAAAAGAATGTAAAACTATTCGAACTATTGACTTACTTCTTGTTGAAGACCACTACATGCTAAACGAAAGATTACCAATGACAACATATTTCATTCGCAACTATATAGAAATCTTGAAGGAGTGTGGTGGAATGAACATTGAGAAACAGATGAAGATTTATACAAAGAGAGAGAACAAATATGTAGTTCGTTATGATAGAACAACACCGTTATGGGGTGTTATGAAAACATTCTGGGAGTGCAAATATTTCGAACCTTTTTCTTATGGAGAACTTTTCACATATACGACTGACTTATATAAACAGAACCTTGCACCATTTAAAGATTTGACATATGCTCCAAAGTATTGTGTACAACTGAAGAAGAAAGCCGAGTCAAAAGAAGTAAATAAAAATAAGTGCAAGTTCATCTCCTGAGCACGTTTTCTTTGCTGACTTTGAGTGTAGTACCGATGGCTTTCATAAAGCTTTTAACAATATGTTATGACAGTGAAGATGGTTCAGTGAGTGAAAGCATATGGGGTCAAAACTGTGCAACAGAATTTTTGGAACGACTTCCTGACAAGAGTTTAATATATTTCCATAACCTCAGCTATGATATAAACTTCATCTTAAGACACATGACAGAAGTGAAAGGAACTCCATCATTAAAGGTTCACGAACAATGCAAATAACTGGTTTATATAAAGGACGGGCAATTATTATAAAGACTCTACAGTGTTATAAATAAGAAGCTTAAACTATTTCCTGCTATGTTTAACTTACAAACAGGACCGAAAAAGTATTTCCATATAACTACTACAGCAGTGTTTTGTTAGCAAATGACAACAGAACTGGTGTCATTTCTGAAGCATGTAAGTTTGTCAAGGATGCAGATACATTCATGAAGAACATAGATTCCATCAAAGGTTGCAGAATAGATGAGAACCACTTCGACTTAGAAAAATATAGCACGATTTACTGCAAACAATGTAAGAATTTTAAGAGAAGGTTTTGTAAAGTTCCGCAATGACTTATTGAAAGAGTTTGATTTAAACGTTTATGACTACGTTAGTATTTGTTCTATTGCTAACAAATTGTTTGAGAACAGAGTATACTTCCCGAATGGAAATCTTTATGACCTCTCAAATAAACCAAGAGAATTTATTTCGAGATGCATTCAAGGTGGAAGATGTATGTTGTCAGATAACATGAAACAAAAGAGCAAAAAGAAACTCATTGCTGACTTCGACGCTGTTTCATTATATCCATCAGCAATTGCAAGACTTTATACTTTAGAAGGAATTCCAAAAGTATTGAAGGATGAGATGTTAAGCACAGAGTATCTCATGAGACATTTATTCGATGACGACCAAAAGGAACCCATTGGTGAAAAGTTTATGTCAGGCTTCTTTGTTCTCATTAAGATAACAGAGATTGGAATACATAGACACTTTCCTTTAATAGTTTGCGACCCTGAACTAAATCCAGAACTTAACGTTCCCAGAAGTTCAAACACTTGCTGTCTCATGTATGTTGACCATATAACATTACAGGACCTTATAAAATATCAAGGTGTCAAATGTGAAGTGTTGCAAGGATACTATTACGATGGAAACAGAGATATGAGAATAAGAGATGAAGTAAAGAAGTTGTTTGAGTTAAGGTTAAAGTATAAGAAAGAAGAAAACCATTACAAGAAATTATAAAACTCATTCTGAACAGTATCTATGGCAAAACCATTCTATCTCCTATTGAGTCAAAAATAACCATAGTAGATGACAAAGATGCTATAAGATATGCCATCAGAAACTACAACCATATAGTTAAGTTCGAAGGTTTGGATGGTTCGGATAAAACTATTTTCAAGCTAACAAAAAGCATTTGCAGACACTTTAACTTCTGTCCACTTGGTGTTAATATTCTGTCTATGTCGAAGAGAATAATGAATGAAGTGTTTTGCACGATTGAAGACTTAGGATTAAAAGCATTTTATCAGGATACAGATTCGATGCACATTTACAATGAAGACATACCACGTTTAGCTCATGAATTTAAGAAGAGATACGGTAGAGAACTTATCGGTAAAACATTAGGTCAATTTCATAGCGACTTCGCAGAAATAACACCTGGAAAACAAAGTTTAGCATACAAGTCAATATTTTGTGGAAAAGAAGACCTACATAGACTTACTCACTAACGATTTAAATGAAGTTGCATTTCACTGCAGAATGAAAGGCGTGAAGCAAGATGTTATTGCTTTAACCGCTAATGAAATGTTTCCTGACTCTGTTCAGTGTTTCTATGATGAAGATAAAGGTTTAATGGTTCCGCAAGGAAAATTTGACAAAGACTCTGAGTTCAGTGTTATGCAGTTTTATAAAGCACTTTATGACGGTCAAGAGATTGCATTCGACTTATGTAAGTCTTCTAGTCCTTGCTTTGCTGAAAAGTTTAACTTCTCAATAACGACTAAAACAGCTTTATTCGTAAGTTGAAGTTCTGAGGTCATGAATGATAAAAACAAGCCGCTAGCGCAAGGCGAAGCCCATGAAGTCGTTTATTTTTTGTCATTTATGATGTCATTTATGAGGTTATTTATAAAACTGCGATTGTTGAATTCAGCAATTGTGCTTCGATGTAGAGACAGTCCTTATGGTCTGGAGGTAAGAACACTGGGCAGTTATGGTCATGAGTGGAGAACATGTCTATCCAAAACTCACGATTGAAGCCAGTTAATTTATAGTATTTAGGGTTAGGAAGTGGTGTAGTTCTTGTATGACCAATGAACTCATTTTCAACGCCTTTGGCTATATTAGAGAAAAGAATAGCTTGCTTTCTATCCCAAATGCCAGGTGTTACAATCTTTGAAAATTCATTTTTCCTCGGAAGCATTGCATCATAATTGAAAACATTCTTGAAATCATCACTTGGTTCAGAGATTTGAAATCTTATACGTAATGGATTTTCTTTCTCTTTAGCGACTTCATTGAATGGTGAATATATAACAAACTGACAGTCATGAGTTCCATCTTCATTTTCATTAAATTCATAATGAAAGTCTATAAGTTGTGGCTGACTACCTTCTTCTTCAGTTGTGCAAGAAACTCACGTAAAGGCTGTAAAGTTTGTACTTCAATGTTGAACTTTTTCTCGAACATTTCATTAAATGAAATCATACATTGCAACAATGTTGTATCGTCTTTAAAGTATTTGTATATGTGAATGTTTTGGGCGCTTAAAGACTGTTCGTCATTTTCTATCTCGACTTGAAGTATAAGTCAACTTTCCTAAATGCACGTGTTATATACATATTTGTTATGCCAATATATTTTTCTTCATTTAGGTTCACAATCCAGTCTGTTGGAAACTTAAACGTTACTCTGTTCCCCTTATTTTGACGTCAGGGTTTTCACTACTGAACGCAACAGATAAAGGTATTTGTCTATACATTTAGTTCCAATAAAAATAAACCATTTACTCTTTCTTCACTTCAGCTTCTTTAGCTTTTGCTTCAGCTTCTTCTCTAGCTTTTTTCGCCAGTAGTCTTGGGTTCTTTTGTCTTCCAGCAGCTAATGCAGCAAGTTGTTTTTCACTAAGTTTTCTCTTTGGTCTCTCTGGCTTTTGTTCTTGTTTTTGTTCCTTCAGTTCGGATAAAATTTGCTCGCGAATTTCTTTCTTCAATGCTTCAAAATCTATGACCCCTTGGTCTTGTCCGTAGGGCTTGTCTGAGTCATTTGACTGCAGATAAAAAACTAAATTAAAACTTTAACCGATGTAAAATGAGCTTGTCAAAATCAGAGCGAGAGTCTATTATATTAAATGACGCAAGAGGAATACAACATCCTTTCTATTACGTAAGTCAGAGTAAAGATGGTAAAATATACGTAAGAAAAAGAAAGGTTCCATTAGCGAATGCAGAGAGCGACAACATTAAGGTGCATGGCACCGAGGGTGAAGCCATATAAAACCTTCTATTCAAACTGAAAAGTCAATAGAACCAGAAGAAAAGAAGCCAGATGTTCTTTCAATAACGAACCAAGAGCTTATTGCAAAGTTCGTGAATTTCATTGAAAAGCAAACCGAGTCAAAGAACCCTGACCCACCAGTGAAAGAAGTTGAGACAAAAGAGAATGTACAGTTCATTGAAAATGTCAAGAAACAACTTCCACCGAATGCCAAGAAGAAGAGTGAGAATAATGAAGTAAATAGATATTTTTATCTGAAGTAAATACATGCAGAACGAACAGCTAAACGAATTTACTCCAGCAGAGCATATTCATCAGATTCGCTCATATTTCGATATCATAGACAATGCAGTTCAAATTGGTGACACTAATAATATAAAATATTCTGACGCAAAGATTCCATCACAACCTGGAACTGCTAATAACACATGGGTAACATTCAATCTCTCACCTCCTGGTGAAAATATGTTGGACCTTTACAATACATTCATTACGTATAAAATGGAAGGTCAATTTATTGTAGATAAAGAAATTGGTTCAGGTTCCAATAAAACAAACCCACCAGGATTTTGGATTGGTTTCGATGACGCTTTCTATGCAGTTGCTGGATATCAAATCCTTGCAAATGGTCGTATCGTATATTCTCAAGACAATGCAAGAGAAGAAGCATATATAACTTCAAACTCACAAACTACCGAACAAATAAAGAAAGTAGATGTTTTCTCAAAGACTCGACATGAAGATGTATGGAGTCATTCGGGAACATGCAGAACAGGACAATTGTTAGTGGTCCAATTACAGCAGGAAAATCATTTGATTTTAAGCTTCGTTTAAGAATTCCTGTTAGAAAGTTTTTACCATTAGAAGCTATAAGATTTATTCCTGCATTTGCTGGTAACATTCAGCTTAAAGTAAAGTTCAGTAGCGACGCATTACAATGCACATCTATATCTGTAAATGATATCATTGCTTTCAATCCAACTCTTAAAGTTGCATTTGCTTCAGATTCAAATCCACCGACAAATAAATTTGTTCCATGGAATGAACCATTCACTATGATAACGAAGGCAATAGAAGCTAGTGGAACAGTTACTATTACAACTGTAAACCAGCAACTATTTCGAACAAAGATGGATTTTAATGAATGTTTCATTCATCCAAAGTCATTCTCTTTAGACCCTAACATTTATACAGAACTTGTAGAACATTATACAAACGAGGCTTTATGTTTTCCTGTTAAAGTTATGGATTGGATTCCTATGGACGGTTCATTCTCAAAGAATACAGATAGTTCAAGTGCAACATTTACAGCAGCTTATACGCCTATTAATGTTAAAAGTATTTGGGCACTATTTAGAAAGAAAGACAACTATTATGTTAATTTTGAGAACCCTAAGTTTAAATATCTTCAGCTTTCCATGGGAGCTTATGGAAATATGCCTGCAGAACCTGAAAAATCATATGGACCTGTATTTTATGAAATGGTTGCGAACGCTTGCAATACAAACAATGATATGATTGGATTTAATGAAGATGTTATGAGGTCATTGGTGGATGATGGTAGTGTGGGAACATAAATGGGATAGCTATGACAACACACATTTCTTATGTGGTTTTCCAACAGAAGTGGACTTTTGCTTCCAGCAAGGTCAAACATCTACTGCTCCAATAACATACAAATTGTCTGTTAAAGGACCTATTGAACTAGCAACTGAAAACGTACCAAAGCCACTTATTGGATTTATGAGGGATTGTTGCTTTGCAATACAAGTAAGACAGTCAGGCATACCAATAATAAGACTTGACGACTATAACTTAGCAACTGACGACAGTGAGGAATAAAGGATGAACGTTTATTTTTAAAGCTTATAAATGAGTTCTTCATCAAGCTCTCGTGAACCTTCACCATCTATGAAACAAACTTTACCAAACGATTATGGAGCACCTATTGAATATTTCTTACGAGCTGCACAATGGCAAAGAGCAGTCTCACCAAGGTTAGGTGTTCCACCAGCTCCTGTCAAAAATAGCATTTGGTCAAGTCCTTATATAAGATATGGTCTCCCACTAGGTTTGCTAGTTACAGCAGGAGCAGTAATGATGTTGAAAAGAAATAAAGCAAATGTTGTAAATAATACTGAAGTAGCTGAAGTTAAACAAACACCGACACCTTCGCCAAAACCAACGCCTTCACAAACAACACCTTCAATGACTCCTGAACCTATGGAAGTACAAACTCCTGTTCAAAAGTCAACTCCTAAACCGACTCCAACATTTAAACCAGAACCTACTCCTCAAATAAATCGTAAAACTCCTGCGTTTCCTTACTGAAAAAAATAACGTTATTTTTATTTAATATTAAAATTTTTATTTGATTGAAATGACGACTAAAGTCACTGAAGCAATGAAACAAAAGTTTTTGGTAGAATACATTAAATCAGGAACTATTCCAGAAGGTTTTTATATTCATACTATGAAGGATGGTAGAGTTCAGTTTAGAAAGATAAAGCAACCATTAGATAAAGAAGGAATTTTGAGAAAGATTAAATTACATGAAGACAACATTGCTGAACTTAAGAAGAAGTTAGAAGAGTTGGAGAAAGGAAGAGAGTTATAAAGCAATGAGAACGTTTATGTTATGAGAAATTTTTAACGTTAGTTTTATTTTTACTGAAAATTTTTATTTGGATGTAATGACAGAACAAAAGCAACTCATACAAATCAAAACATATAACAAACATACATTTAAACATTTATTCTTCCTTCCTGAGTATAACATGTTCTTTACACTTCATCCTAGACCAGTTGACTATACACTGACTGTTTATAAAGATTGTCATGGTAGTTTTATAAAAACTTATGACGATGAAGGTAAGTTAACAAGACTATGCATTTCAAAACTTGAGAAACTTTATGACTTCAAGTATGACTACAATAGAGTTAACACTGATGATGAAGATATTGAAGAAAATTTATGAGAACGTTTATTTTCATTAGTGAGTTCGTTAGTGAGGCGAAATGGTTGGCGGCTTTGTAAATATTTAAGGTTAAGTTAGTTTTTGCGTTCATGTTGTAAAATGTACGTTAACGGTTTTGTAAAGTGTCAAATTCACAAGTATTGGGTAAGGTGGAACGCAGTGCCACCATACCCAAGACTGGTGTACTAACTCCCGTAGTACTGAAGGCACCAGTGCGAATGACTGTTGAAGTTGACTTTTTAGAAAATATTAAATGCAACGGCTTACAAGAGAACTCAGAGCTAAAAATATAAAGTATGAATGTTATGTATTAGGTCATGAACTTTGGTTGTTGCTGTTTGATGAAACAAATGAGTTAGTTATGTCAGTCAAGAGAACAGAAAAGGCGTCAAAAGGCGCCGAGCGCAAAGCGCTATATTGTGTTAGTGAACAATGCACCAAGTCAATAAGATTAGGTTTGCATTATGAAGATGAATTCGATACTGTTGAAGAAGTTTTGGACAGATATTACAAATTGTTAACTTGGATTTTTTTGACTAACGGCGCAAAGCGCCAAGATGGGCTCAAAGAGCCTCCTGACGGCTTTAATTTACTAAAACATATTTAAGACATAATTTATAGTAAGTAGATAGTTTTGTATACTCGTTCGAATATCTATACTTAAACTCAACTCCTGGAGTACCTGGTGTTTCAATGATGCGGATGTTACCTATTTTCATGAATATTGGAGTTTGACCACAGCATTCGATTTCAGGGTCGAGATAGTCAATGACACATTGCTTTCCTGTTATTCGTGATATAATATTTTCAAGGTCCTCCTTTGTTAGAATTATTTGGTTCTTACTTATAAGATTTGTCAAAAGCTTCTTATCGTCTTTGAGTAAAATTGTTTGATATAACTGAAGAAGGTAATGGTCTACGTTATCTGAAGGATTTGTTTGAACATTTGTGTAAGGGTTGTCGTTGGCTTCTCTTGAAAGAACTTGGTCCAGTGGTGGATACTCTAACTTAACATCTGATGTAGCGTTAGCGTTTGAAGTTGTGTTTAAATTCACCGACTTAAGATCTGGTTCTTTTTCTTTCAAACACTCCGAACTATAGTTCTTTATGACAATATTGTTTGTCGTTCGTGAGTCAACATTTGATGTTGGTTCAATTGGAACATTAACGGCACCAGCTAAGATGGACTTACTTCTCATTTCATATAGAATAAAAACCTTTTATATGTATGAAATGAACAATATACTCGACAAGGGTTTGAATGTAAAGCTAACGAATGAAAATATTGTTGAATTCACTGAGACAGGAGCTGTGTATAAAGATGTAGAACTACTGAACAAAAGAGCAAAGGGAAGAAGCAGGAAATGAACAAAGGGTGGAAGCCTATAAAAATTTATGTCAATGATGGCTCAGGAGGTTCAAACATAAAGTATGCAGAAAGTTATAGAGTTTATGCTCTCAAAGGTGAAAAGCCTTCATTTAAGAACAGCTATTCTACACATATCCTCAAAAGTTAACGGATGGGGAAGTGGATGATATGAATGACAGCAAAAATATTAACAGAAATGGCGACAGAGATGCATGGAATTTGTTTACCATCAGTCAATTAAAGCATAAGATTTAAAACAATGTTGGTCGTTCCCATGGAATATTTTTGACTTTAATGGTATTAGTCATGATATGAATCTCAAGGTATGAACGAGGAGAGATGAGAGACTTATATGCTTCCCAAATTTCTTCAAAAGGTAATGTTATACCTGACTGTTTCCAAATGAGTTCAATGTCATAACGTGAGAAACCTTGAAAGATAACGAAGTCAGTTATGAGACGTTTTATGTTTAAAGCTAAAAACCTCCATGTTTGCATAAGTATTGCTACAGTTAAATGGTAATGTCTGACTTTAGTAATGATGTTAGCTAATGGTGAGTCTGGTTTTGACACTAAACCTTTTCCGGCAAAGTCGTCACAAACGAGCAGAGTGTTTGAAGGATACTTTTTGAAGGGGTATTTTGAAAGTTTTGATAGAATGTAGTTTGTCAGTCGTTTCATATCGTAAACTCCTGAGTACTGACGTAAGTGGTGTTTGTCAATAATTCTTTCCATCTCCTCAGAAGTCTTTTGCATTCCTGACTGTATGAACTCTACAATAGCATAATATTTTCTCTTACGTCGAATGTAACGTTGAAGAAATTCAATGAGTTCGCTATCTGGAACTTTAACGACAGATGCTTGAACTTTACTCATGAATGTTTTCGCTGTTGAATCCATAGAGTCTGAAGTTGCTGATATAATGATTTGGTCATAGTAAGAGTCGTTTCCTAAACGCTCTGTTATGAGTATATGACGAATGAGGTTAAATGTCTTACCTGAACCCATCTTACCACAATAGAAATACACGCCATTTGAACAGAACTCATAATCTTTGCTGAAAGGAAGAATAAGAGAAGAGTTAAGTTTGTCTGTAGTTTCATTCATGTCTTCATCTACGTTATGTATTAAATGCTTCATTTTATCTCCATTAAAATGCAAGTCAGAAATATTCAGAACATAGCACCGAGTCTAACTGACAAGAGTATAAAGATATACTATGAACACGTTATGATGAAACCAACCAAAATTCAAGAAAGTCAGTATACTTATGAATATCCAAGACACTGGGTAGAGTATGTAGGAGGTGAGAAAGCTATTGAAATAAGACAAGTTAGAAGTATTCCAGCAGGAAGAACAATATTATTGAAGAACTTTAATGTTTTGAGATATAATGATAAAACAAAGAAGCAAGATAGTTTCCCTGTTGCTGTGTATGTGAACCTAGACACAGGAGATGACATGAAAGTTTTTAACACAAAGCTTCAAACGGTATTGAAAGAACAACTTATAGCAGAAGGACACCCATTACCTTCAGAAGTTACCATAGCATATAATTTTGAAACAAATGCAATAGATTTTAAAATCGTCTCTGCAAAGAAGTCAGGTTTTACATTTAATGAAGCAGATGTATATTCGAATGAAAACTTCAAAGCTATTGCATGGTTAGATAATGACGATTGCTTTAAGAAAATATTTAAATTCAGTGACTCAAAGATGTCAATAGATGACCTTCGTGGAATGTTACCATCGACGTTTACAGTAGAAGGTTCAGCAGGATTGCTTACAAGATTGTCAATTGGTGGCGTTTGGTCTCGTGAGAACATTGTTATAAAATCCAGTATAAGTGAATTTGCTGAAGAATCTATATTATGTCTTTCAAACTACATGTATTCGCCACCGAAGCATTATAGTATAACAAACTTTGTCAGTAAGTTTAACATAAGACTTGTCGAACCTTCTTCAATGAAAGATGTTGTGCTACCTAAAGATGGAAAGGATGGACTCATTATTGAGATGATTTTAATTGCATATTAAATGAGTTTGTTCTTGAAAGTCATTCATGATGAAATAACTGTTGTAGAAGATGTTAGCAATTGTTCAGACATTTTGAAGCGAATAGATGAGATAAGAAAGAAGTTAGATAGACCGCAAAGCGGTGAGGGCGAAGCCCGTGAGAATGTTTATGTTTCATTGACTTTCTCCAGTAACGAGAACTTTTATGAGATAATATTGAAGAGAGATGATTTTAATATGGTGTAAATGGTAGATTGGGCAGCTTTAGGCGCAATGGGAACAAAAGCATTAGCATTTGGAGCAAAAGCACTTGGAGCTTATGACGCAGTAAATAAAATGAGTGGAGGAAGAGTTTCGAAGACATTAGACGCAAATAAAGGAAAGATAGGAGGCTGGGTTGCAAAGAAGTTAAGATTAAATAAAATAGGGCTCATAAATAAAGCATCCAATTTGGTTGCGACTGAGTCGGAAAATGCTTTAGGAAAGGACGATGAGTTTTCAAAACACGCAAAAGACTTTAATGACCAGATGAAAGGTGAAACAATGCATTTAAATAGAGTCGATGGAACTCTTCCTCCACAACTTCCACCAGCAGTTCTTCCGTATGGTCCCTATGGAATGTATGGAAACCCTTACGAAAGACCATTTGACCCATTGACTGGTGGAAGTAATTGGTATCATTATGGACGAAGAAGAAAGACAGTCAAGTTGGAGACGGACGTAAAGAAAGCAACTAAAAAGAAATCAAGGAAGAGAGTTATAAAGCAATGAATTCAAGTGGGTGAAAAACCGGGTGAAAAAAGAGGTGAGATTTCACCACTTCACCTTAATTTATTTTTTCACCTCTGACAACGTTTATTTTTATTTTATTTTTATGTAAATGACGGAAACTATTGAGGGTGAAAAACCGGGTGAAAAAAGAGGTGAGATTTCACCACTTCACCTTAATTTATTTTGTGCTATGTTTTCATACGCGTGAAGGTAGTGATATCGTTTATTTTTTATTTTATTTTATTAAAATTATTTTTATTTTATTTTTATGTAAATGACGAAAACTATTGAGATAACAAACTACAACGGTCATGAGTTCAAGAATTTGTTCTTCGTTCCTCGTGAAAATACATTCTATCAGATACGAGGGAGAAAGGGTAAAGTTAGTTTGAGCGTTTATGACTACAAGCATAATGGAAAGTTTATACAAGCAGTAGATACAAACGGTAAACGTGTTTCATTAGCTTTGTCAAAACTTACATACATTCATTTTGACAGTGACTTTGACTCTGACGATTGGAGCGACAGCAGCGATACTGAAGAATATCTTGTAACCTTAGAAACAACTCTTCAAGCTTTTCAAGAAAAAATAAACGATATCTATATCGAATATGCAAACCAGTATAACATTGACGAAGGAGAATACCATCTCGATATTATTTATGACAGGAAAAATGCAACTGTTAAAATCAATAAAATAGAAGACCTTGGAGAAAACGTTTATATTCTACAAAATATAACAACTTGGCATGGTATAGATTTATGAGGATGTTAAATCAGCCTGCAGCATATCCAGTACACCCAGACTTTTATGAAGTCGAAACCCTAATGGAACATATGAAAATGTTTTCGACCAAGATGCTATTATTGTTCATGCTTCATTTTCTGGCGCCCAAACTCTTTCTTATGCTTGGCAAATGACTTTTAACGAAAAACCTACAAAGTTATACGAACCACCAAGTGGAAGTATTTCAGACTTTCAAGTATGGTTTACTACAGATGGAAGAAAAAGAATAATTCCATTATACCATGCGTTTTACTTAGAACTTAGTTTCATATACCAACTACATCGAACGGTAAAATATAATTTTTTAATACGGTTGAGGTGTTGGATTTGGTTGCCAACTAGACTGTGGTGCAGGTTCAGGCTGTTGTATAACAGGAGCTTGTTCTTCTGGTTCAGGGTCTTTAGGTATAATACCAACGAACTGACCTACTCTTTTACCAATATTTTTGACTCCGTTCCAAATTCCTCTTCCTACGGTTTTTATTCCATTCCATATACCTCTTCCAACTCTTCTGAAGAAGTTTCCAATACTACTGAAGAAACCCATTTTACTATATGTAAAAATCTAATGTCCGCCTAGTCTCTTACGTTTCCTGTTGAGTTCCATAGCATTCTTTAACTGGAGCTCATACATTCTGTTTCTCCTCTGGTAGAAAACATATTCTGGGTCAACTCCTGTGTTCGCGTCATCTGCATAAAGTTGTTTATATCCCACTTCAGGGTTTGTATAAAACTCTTTCCATCTCATATTTGCAGAGTGTGGTAGAATTTACGAAAAAGTGACACTAAAAAAGTGACACTTAACCTTAAATTTCCAAACACTATTTTTTGATTGTATTTTGTTATTTATATATTTATATATATAAATATATTTATCTATGTATATTTATATATGTATATTTATATATATATATTTATATATATATATTTATATATATATATTTATATATATATATTTATATATATATATTTATATATATATATTTATATATATATATTTATATATATATATTTATATATATATATTTATATATGTATATTTATATATGTATATATTTATATATGTATATATTTATATATGTATATATGTATATATTTATATATGTATATATTTATATATGTATATATGTATATATGTATGTATTTATATATGTATTTATATATGTATATTTATTTAAAAAAATTAAAAATAATATAATTAAAATTTATTTATATTTTAAATTTCATACTGATCTTCGATTCCAATTTGTGAATTGATATCATTAACAATTGAATTCCAATTATCAATAACTTCGTATAATGAATTTTCACTGCAGATTTTATCAATATACTCCAGTACTTCTGTCATTAAATCACCTTCAACGCCATGACTGGACCAAAAGATGATTGCATTCTGTCTTATACTTGTCATTGTTTCAAATGAAGTAACCAATGTATTCAACTCTTTCAATAAAGGTAAAAGATAGAGATGTGAAAACTTAAATTTTATAATCCCTGGGATGCACTTTCTTCGATTTTTTTTAAATTTTTGGGATAAATTTTGACATCTTTTTTTTTGCTGGCGACCCCCCCCCGTTTAGGGCATCAAAAAAACATGTTGTTTCGTTTCAAGATCGGGATATGTTGTGAACCCGACTTCTTTCATTAATGAAGTGATTTCTTAAGTTGAATAAAAACAAATTTGATTGAAATTCATACAAAATTTCTTTTTATCATTATTATTTAAGATGCTTTTTTATGTTGAATTGTTAATTTTTTTATTTCCACCTGGGATATTTTGAATTGGGCTAGCCCAATCCCACCTCTCAATTTTCTCTCAATTGGGCAATGGGGATCCCATATAAAATGTATTGTAACAAAATTTTACATGCATAATATAGTACAATTAAACAACATTCTAAAAATATTAAATTCACATCATTTACTTGAAGATTTTATATTTTCAACAAAAATTAATACAATAATTACATTAAATTGAGGAGATTTATAATATTTATTATAAATTAAAATATTATTACTCATTAATTTGTTGAAATATTGCATTTTAGTGGTAAAAATTAAAATTTAAGTTTACATGGAGAAAAAAAATTTTTAAATTCCAAAAAAAAATTCAATTGGGATAACGATAGGGACAAAAATTTAGAATCCCCATATGCTTGGGATAAAATCACATGACTAGTAAAAGATACATCTCTCTTTTTTTCAATAAGTTTGAAAGATGTTGTATTTTTGATTGTATTTCTGTCATTTGTTTATCATAATTTGATATTTCGGGAATTTCACAATTTCTTGGTGGAAGGACAATTTGATGTAAATTAATATCTTGTTGAATGCGGAGAAAGTAATTTTCTTTGACTCGATTTAATAAAAGAAAAACAAACTTGTCAATTGCTAAATTTTTCACATTTCCAAATTCATAGTATTTAAAATTTTTGAACAAAGACTCTGATATATTATTAACAAGAGTCAATGAATCTTCCTTGAATGCAGAAATCCATTGTTCCTTATGTTTAGCCCATTGTCTTTGGAAATAGTTATTGAAATCATCATAAGGAAAATCAATTTTATTTATTTTTTCATATAACTGATTAGCATTTTCCATATTCATAGGCATTGTGTAGCAGAGGATATTCATATATTTATCCACATCGGCCCTGATATTTTCGTCTGGAATTCTGTATAAGTTCTTACGAAGTGCCCTCATCACATGGAGGGCACACCAAAAGATATTACATTCTTGAAATGTATTATGTATTGAATTAAAGATTTGGAGGGCACAATCTGACATAAAGTTGGATGGAGTTCTTTCAAACCATTCAAAAAACTTGATCAAACATTTTTGAGATAGAAGTTTCATTATCTTGTTTTACAATAAAATACAAAGTGGAATGACATGAGTCTTTTCAAACTTACAAGCAATGATATATAAAACAAGTTTTTCAAATAATATTTTGAAAGTAGAGTCGATATGGTACATCCTAGGCTCTTCATATAACAAATCCTTGATACGAACAATCTCCATATACAAAGAGAAAATCAACTGGATTATCTACATCATCGATTTCATGATATAATAAATCTTTGGCTGAAGGAGTGTTTATTTTTTCGCTTTTATATTTGTTAACAACATCAAAGAAAGTTTCCATAGTGATTACTGCCTTTCGGCATTTGCAAAATCTTTTCTGTGAGTTCCTTTTTGAGTTGCCGAAGAGTATTTTCATCATAAGAAAAGAAAAACATAGTTATTAATAAAAGGAATATTGAGAGCTTGATATGAACAGAAATTGCATCAGCAACTTTACCACCACTAATAAAATACTGTTGAAGATAAGGTCTGAGAAAAATACTCTTTGGTGAATATTTAAAAGACGGTGGTTCACCAACATGATTATGAAAATGATGTCCATTTACAAATCTGTATTGATTAGATTTCATTTCAAAGGTAAAGTTAGCACTACAACTTCCCCATCTACAGTAATGTCTTAATAATTGTTATGTTATATACGAAAACGATAAAACAGTTTGACAGAAAAGTGACAACTTTACGTGTCAAAAATATAAAAAGTGATATTTTATTCATCATTATCTTCTTCATAATTTATTTCATATTCTTCGTCTTACCAACAAAAGATGGGAATGTGAACAATTGCGGGCAATTTTTAGCCATTTTGGCTTGGAACTAGAGCCTGCGAGGTACATGGATAGTATCAGTACCTCACAGGCTCTAGTTCTCTATATGGCGCCGAGAAATTTTGGTGAAATGTGGTCGCATTTCACCAAAATTTTTCGGCGCCATAGATGAATTGGAGGGTGAGAGATATTATTTCATACATACTACTCTCACCCTCCAATTCCCAGCCAAAATGGCTAAAAATTGCCCGCAATGTGAACAATTGCGGGCAATTTTTAGCCATTTTGGCTTGGAACTAGGAGCCTGCGAGGTACATGGATAGTATCAGTACCTCACAGGCTCTAGTTCTCTATATGGCGCCGAGAAATTTTGGTGAAATGTGGTCGCATTTCACCAAAATTTTTTCGGCGCCATAGGATGAATTGGAGGGTGAGAGATATTATTTCATACAATACTACTCTCACCCTCCAATTCCCAGCCAAAATGGCTAAAAATTGCCCGCAATGTGAACAATTGCGGGCAATTTTTAGCCATTTTGGCTTGGAACTAGAGCCTGCGAGGTACATGGATAGTATCAGTACCTCACAGGCTCTAGTTCTCTATATGGCGCCGAGAAATTTGGTGAAATGTGGTCGCATTTCACCAAAAATTTTTTCGGCGCCATAGGATGAATTGGAGGGTGAGAGATATTATTTCATACAATACTACTCTCACCCTCCAATTCCCAGCCAAAATGGCTAAATTGCCGCAATGTGAACAATTGCGGGCAATTTTTAGCCATTTTGGCTTGGAACTAGAGCCGCGAGGTACATGGATAGTATCAGTACCTCACAGGCTCTAGTTCTCTATATGGCGCCGAGAAATTTTGGTGAAATGTGGTCGCATTTCACCAAAATTTTTCGGCGCCATAGATGAATTGGAGGGTGAGAGATATTATTTCATACAATACTACTCTCACCCTCAATTTTAATTACTTAAACTCATTTCTATTTTTTTGACATGTAATGTCACTTTTACTGAGATCTGACACAATGTCAGATCTCTTTTTTTCGTATATAAGAGTTACTCCATCTGAATTCAAATGTGAATCTTTCCGATAATTGCAGTTAGCACGCATCTCTGCTTGAACTCCATATTGAAGATAATGAATGAAAATCAATATATTGTTTTGTATCAGCAAGGGGTGCAGGAACGGATTGATTCATTTAAAAAAATGAAAAAAGTGAGAATTGTAAATAATTAAGGTTAATATTGAATAAATAATACATCAAACTAGTTTTAGAGTTGATAGTAAGAAGCGAAGAACACTACCAGTAAGATACAGCAGTAGTAGCTGCTTCATGCTGCATTGAGTATTGTTGAATAATTTGAAGTAGTGGTTTTTGAAATCAGCACCCCTATGAGAGCGCTGGCGACCGAAACACCACTAGTAAGATTGTGTATTAGAAACTGCTTCATGCTGTGTTGAGTAAGCTTCGATATCTTTATCAGACCACATTTAAATTAACCACTCACATTCTCACTGTGGTCCATCTAAAAATTTGTAAGCTTTATGACATAAAATTATATTATATGCAGGATCCCACCTATTACTTAATCTTTTTGGAATAAATGTTTTATAATATTTATCGATTGATTGTAATTTTTTGTATAAAAAAGTTTTTTTATTTATATTAAAATATATTCGGTTAATGATATTATCTTATAATTTGTAAATAAATCTAGTATAAAAATAACTTTAATAGTTGGTGTCACTTTTTCGAAAATTCTGGTTTTTTCCTGTGTTCGCGTCATCTGCATAAAGTTGTTTATATCCCACTTTCAGGGTTTGTAAATAAACTCTTTCCATCTCATATTTGCATACCATGGTGGCAAACCTAACGCAGCGTCATTTGACATGGCAGTTTGCATTTGTACATCTGTTGGCACTTGACCATAGTTTGCCATTGCAGTTTGTATTCTAACTTCATTTGGAATATTCTCTGGGTTTGGTTGTCCAGGTTGCTGTGCATTCGCTAAGTTCTGTGCGTCCATTTAATATTAGATAAAAATATCTCTTACGAGTACATATACTGAACATTTGCAGGCATTGGTTCATCTTCATATTCTCTATATTTTCTGCCACGTCAAATAAATAAATGACACAATGGAAAAAACCTAAAACAAGTAGTCCTATTTCAAACCACATTTACTTACTAATAAAATTTCTTTTGTTATGACACTTTCTCCGGTTTATAGGACCTCTCTCATATTCTATCTTGTCATATCTAAACTCATAGTCATGTATGTCCTCTAACCATCTCATAACGGTTTCCAAACCACTTTTATCGGATGTAAAGTAAAAGCATGGATGGTTATGTATAACGTCTAAAGTTTCTAAAGAGTCTCTCAAAGTCCAGTCTACTTGGTATTGAAATCCCATGTGTTAAAGAACGGCGGGTCCACTATAAAGAAAACATTTTCCTTGTCTTTATATTTTTCATACAACTCTGTCCAATGACATCTCACAAACTCTATACCCTCAAATATTTTTCTATGTTCTCTTGAAAACATTTTGTATAGTTAAGATATAAAACTTTTGACATAAGTGTTTCAATGTCATGAACTCTTATAGAACCACTATATAATAGTCTAGCAGATATACTATCCCAGTCTATATATTCTGCTTTTTTCAAAACCTCTCTCACAATATTTTTGTTATCTAATGGTATACGTTCCATCTTACCTATAGTATCTTTTCTTTTAACTCTTTCAATATATTGTTTGTGTCTGGAATATGT